GCCGTCATCAGATACAAGGAAACCGTCGAGAAGATATTGTGTAATGGTGATTGGGAAGATGAAAATGTCTTGGCCGTGGCCACGGTGAGATATCACAAGTTCATGATGTTGACGGAAAAATATCCGGACCGAATCTTGGTGCCGACGATGGGTGAGTCGATTGAATGCATGCCTCTTTTGTCGCAAGGATTCGACTCAAAGGAAAAATTGGTAAAGCCTAATTAATCGATCAACAGACATATTACTTTGCTGGTACACTCATATGCTGTGGCCATCAAGATATTATGCATTCACAATCGGTCTCACTGGTAAAATCGTGAGTTACGAGAATTCTCTGAGCAAATCAAAAATGGTAAATCTCGGTAAAATTTTCACGATGGAATGGGCGAATCAACTGGTTGTTTACTTATCAATGTACATCTTCACCATTGATCAAGACTGCTAGATTGGAAAGGACAGCAATATTGTGGCATAAAAAATATCAGGAACCGTACACATCAGAGGATCCGTCCAAGAAGTGGAGGAGTTCATCGCGCGTCGTGATGTCTGTTGTATTTCCGGTATATGGACTGTACGTTGCTCAGAGGTTATGGAAGTTGAGTAAGACGCATGATAAAAATATAGGCCCCGGTGGAAGCGTCAACAGGTCAATGTGGATAACCCCGGAATCCAATGGTATCAATGGTCAAGAAAGGAGGGGTCCTTACACGTCTGGGTAAGTTATTTTAACATCCTTTGTTTTTCGCATTTAACACAAATTGTCAATTCAATCATCTCAAAAACAAAAATCCATCGGGTCTAATGAGTAGCGTGGATTTAGCGGATTCTGAATTAATGAACTATCAAGATAGAACAAGGTCATCTCCCACGCGCGTCTTTACATATATTACCCCCGAAATACAGATCTCATAAAGATGATGACAGTGGACGTCTGGAAGAGTGTCGGATGAGAACTCATCGGATTCAATCCAATTTAATGAATAAAGTTCAAGTGAATAAGGATATTATAAATTCTATTATTTCATTATGCTACGTCTTGTATTTTCACATTTATCTCAACATTCAATTTAATCGGGAGGGAACGGAATCTTCAAATTAATGATAGAAATCAGAAACCACCTTTTCTTTCTGTCCCAAAGTAAGGCTTAGCTTTTTTTCTAAGAAAAGTTTCATCAGAGTTAAAATGAGAGAGGTTCATGAAAGGGTAGTTGAAGTGAGTAGTCCTGATACCTGACGCTTTTTTCTCCCAACGTTCTTTGCACCGGACTCATTGAAACTAAAAGATTTCAACGGATCGTCTTTACGTTTCTATTGCGGTCATACAGTGATGTCAATATCATGCAAGTTTCATTTTAATTAATTTTTTTAAAAAACAAAAAAAAAAAATACCTTTGCGCCAAAGTTATGCTTGTTCGGCCTTCGATTGTTGGTCTGTGTTTTGTGAAACGGGACGCGCTCGGTGCTGGCCGATTTTCCGTTGGTGTCAATAGCACCAGACGGTGTCGCAATCTTTGGCATTAGATATGAGGGTATGTGTTTCATGTGTTGTTGAACTCGGGCGGGATGAATCGTCGTGTCATGTCGCAGGATGTTCAAATCATTTGGATTATCTTCGAAATGACTCTGAATGAAATATAATATGAACGCGAAATTCTTACTACGCCCCTGGAATATCAATCCTTGCCATACCTTCAATTTTTCCGAGTTCAACATTTCCAACTTGACATCCTTCAATCGCGCCTCCCTGATGGCAGCACGCGTCACGGCTCTCAGCGCATCTTCCATTCGGTATCGAAATCCTTCCACCTGCTTCATGTCGAATGAGTATGGTTTTAGGGTCGCCCCCATCATGGACTGCTGTTTTTCGACTCGCAAGTATACTTCTTCGTCGTGTTTTGCAGTCGAACATGTTACATTTTTGTGTTTTCCCGCCAATTCCTTAGGAACGACGAAGCTTAGACTCATTCCCTTATAAACAGCTCGCGCCGTTCGACCCACCCTGTGGGTGTACGATTTTGCCGACGTCGGAAAATCAAAATTGATAACCGCGGCAACATTGATGAAGTCAATACCACGAGAAACTCCATATTCATCATCTTTTTTCTTCACACCAGACTTTCCACCTTGTTTTTTGTCGGGAAGTGTAAATTTTACTTTTGACGAGGTGCCCTCTTGCTCTTCGCCTGACGGCGATTCTTCGTCATCTACGCGCGAAAATTTTAATGGGAATTCGATTCAACCATGAATAATGTTACGTTGAACCTACCGCTTCTTTCATCTTCTGTATCGCGATCGGCTTTCAAGTCGCTCTCATCCGTTGCCACGATGTAGTCGTAGATTCCCTTGTTAAATTCTTGCACAATGTGATACCTTCAAAGGAGGGAAAATTTTGAGACAGACGGTCACTCGACATCACGAAAATCAAAAATTCTTAAAAAAAAAAAAATATGCTCACCTCGAATTCAAAGGCAATTCAGAGTTTAACACGCAAGCTTTTATCGAAAATTGCTCCAAAAACAACTTGAGACGGTAACATCGATCGATATCGTTGACGAATATAATGCACTTTCCTTTGATCAGGCGTAACTTCAGTATAACATAAATCAAGAGGAATTTATCTATCTCGGAGCATCTATGTCAACCGAGAAGCACTTCTTAGTCGATTGCGTTACCACGAAGGAGATGTAAGGAAAGCAATCGAGCGATATAATTACCGAACACAGTATTGAGTGAGTTGATTCGCTTCACTCTCTTCGTGCAACGTCAGTACTACCTAAGGAATTCCGCAAAGTTATGACATTTATGCCTTATTAATCTGCACAAACTTCCCAGGAAAATAATAACCATACCGGATTCCGCAATAGCAAATGTTTCAATTTGTCGATATCCTGTTATGAGAAATACAAAACAAGGCATTCTCGAAAATTATGAAATGCGACTTTGAATTGTTGAATGTATAACAAATACGTGCATCTGTAAAATAAATACCTTGGTTAAAGTAGCGCTCATAAGATAGCATTGAAATATTTTGGGTAAGTAAGCCAATATTTTTTGTACATCTTCCTCGTATCCATAGGAAAGCACAAGATCGGCCTCATCGATCACC